GTTTAAAATTTTAGGACAAAATAAGTATTGGCTAATCTCTAAATAGCATCGTTGAGAATGGCTATATGTGCACTTGCCCCGACAAGATGATGCCTCACACAAGTAATATCAATTGTGTGAGGCACACCATAAAACTTTTCATAGCACCTAAAGTGAATTTGTGACTCCGAGTACAAGGGCCACCCTTTTATTGTGTAATATATCAATATATTTATAAAATTTTACCCGAGCGTTCGGATGGCGTGCCACCCCCAATTCCCTACATATATCCGCCCCTGAATGCTAGTTTAAAGTTTCAAATTACCACACACTGTATCAACATTTTTCTGTGTGTTATCTTAAACATTTTTATTGAATTTATTTTTTATTAAAAACTATTTTTAAAGATCATCTCAAATTGCAGCTAAATATTAAAAAGCGGCTCTAAAACTTCCATCCTATTATAAAATAAAGACTGTAAAGTAAATTAACCGAAGACAAGTATAGAGAGAAACTGATATATTATTCAACTTCAAACTGATGTACATAATTAAATGAAATCTCCTCTATTTATAGAAGAAAGGAAGTTGATGACGAAGCTACTACTGCAAGTTGCTGTGTAAGCTGCTTGTAAGCTCCTACTGCAAGCTGTTGTGTAAACTTCTTGTATGTTCTTATTGTACCAGCTACAGATAATCTTCTACATGGGATAATATTTATCCATAATGGAGTACCGAAATGATAAACTTCTTCAGGAGGCTTATTTTCAATAGAGTACTAAATAGATAAATATATTTACGTCGGAATCCAATATGGATAAGCTTTTTCAGGAAGCCTATTTATAACGAAGTACCAAATGGACATCCATAATATAATATATTTATAACACTTCCCCTTGGATGTTCATTAAAAGAAAATGTTCCTCATTAAAACCTTACTAGGAAAAACCCTGTGGGAAAAATTTTAGTGAAGGAAAAAGAGTACACATATTTAGTAATACGCATTGTTAACTGTCTCATTAAAAACCTTATAAGGAAAATCCTATGGGAAAAACTTAGTAAGGGAAAAAGAGTACCATGCATATTTTACTCCTCCTGATGAAAATCTTGTTTCAAATATTTGAGTCTCCGCATTCTAATCTTGTATACCATCATCTCAAAAGTTGAAGTTGGTAAAAATTTAGTGATTAAATCCGTCAGAATGAACGGATTTACTGCACATTGATATTATCATTCTTCTGGAGATCATGTGTGAAGACTAACTCTGGTGAAATATGTTCCATTCTATCTTCTTTTATGAATCCTCCCTTTAATTGGGCTATGCATGCAGCATTGTCTTCGTATAAATTGTGGGTCTTTTATCACATTCCAACCCGTATTTTTCTCGAATAAAATGAATCAATGATCTCAACCATACACATTCCCTACTTGCTTCATGAATAGCTTCATGAATACACATTCCCTATTTGAAATCGAGCTTTATGGGGATCAGATAAATAACATGCATCTCCATAACCAACAAGAACTGCACTACCTTTGTTAGCATAAAACAAACCCATATAAAGAGTTCCCTTTAAATACCGCAATATATTCTTAATTCCGTTCCAATGTCTTCGGTAGGAGAAGAACTATATCTTACTAGCAAATTAACAGAAAATGCTATGTCAGGCCTTGTAGCATTAGCAAGATACATAAGTGCACCAATTGCACTGATGTGATGACCCGATAGGTCATCTTATGTTTTAGAAACTAATTCTTCCCTATGATTCCTTAAATACCTCATCTTAGCCCTCCTTGATTTGCGTGCGCAGTCCGGGTATTTTTCTGAAAAGCTTTTATGTTAAAAACTGAGAAAATATGAAATTACTGCATTAAAAATCTATTTAAGTTGACTTCGGTCAACGTTTTGGGAAAACCGACCCGGATTCGTATTTTGACGGTCCTGATGGGTTTGTATCGTGATTTTTGGGACTTGGGCGTATGCCCGGAATCGAATTCGGAAGTCCCTAGCCCAAGTTATCGCACTTTGTTGAAATTTGAAGGTTTAAAGGCTTAATGACTTTGAAAGTTTGACCAATGTTTGACTCTATCGATATCAGGTCCGTATTTTGATTTTGGAACCCGGTATGGGTCTATTACTATATTTATGACTTGTTTGTCTAATTTTGTGAGAAACGGAGTTGGTTTGACGTGATTCGGACGTTCGGTTGTGAAAATAGAAGTTCATGAGTTTTCCTAAAAATTTCCTTTCATTTGATGCTCAATTCGTAGTTCTAGGCGTTATTTTGGCGATTTGATCACACGAGCAAGTTCGTATGATATTTTTAGACTGGTGTGCATATTTGGTTTAGAGCCCCGAAGGCTCGGGTGAATTTCGGTTAGGCTACGGAGTGATTTGGACTTAGAAACATTGTTGGTGTGCTTCAGTTCTCGTGTAGGCCTCAGACCTCGCAACAAGCTTCACATTTGCGACCTCTGATAGGTTCGCATTTGCGAGCAACTCCTCACATTTGCGAAGAGTATCTAGGGCACCTCAGGTTCGCATTTGCAAACAATACTTCGTTTTTGGGAAGTGGGTCTGGGACAGGCTTGATCTCATTTGCGATCATTTGGTCGCAATTGCAGAAGATCAATGTTCGCATTTGCGAACAAATCATCGCAAATGCGATGACATCAAAAATGGAAGGACTTCACATTTGCGACTGTTTCATCGCATTTGCGAACCCCAGATCGCAAATTCGACATCTGCGACTGATCAAATAGCTAAAAAACGGGATTTTCTCTCATTCTTCAAATTTTCAAAACAAGAAAACCCTACAGGCGATTTTCCCAAGCACCCTTCTTCCCCAAATCATTAGTAAGTGATTCTAATATAGCTTCTTTCAATGTTTCATTACATTTCCTAAGATTTCAACCAAAAATCTAGTGATTCATGGTAGAAATTGGGGGTTTGGGTAGAATTAGGGATTGTTGTAAAATTGAGATTTAGACCTCGAATTGAGGTCGGATTGTAAAACAAATTACATAACTGGGCTCGGGGGTGAATGGATAATCGGGTTTTAGTCTGAATTTCAGTTTTGGACTAAGCGGGCCCGGGAGTTGACTCTTGTTGACTTTTCAATAATGACCTAAATTGAATCATTTGCAATCGTGGATAGTTCCTAAGGCTTAATTTGAATCGTTTAGTTGGTAATTTGCTAGATTCTATTGGTTGGGAGTCTTGTTTGAAAGGCAAAGTTGTGGTTGAGCTTTGAGTTGATCTCTGGAGCGAGGTGAGTGTCGTGGTTAACCTTGACTTGAGGGATTAGGACTTGTTTGTCTATTTGCTACATGATTAGGTGTTGGGTACAACGTATATGTGAGGTGACGAGTACTTATGCGTTGTTGTTGGGTTAAGGCATGCGGGTGGTATGGTTCCTTGTAATTTATTGCTTACTTTGATCATGTTATCCATGCTTAGACTAGTTACTTATTATATTGATCGTCCTTACCGCGTTTATGGGATTTTTGTGATAATTGAGGATTGTTTCTAAATTTGAGATTGGTATTGTGGAACCATTATTGACGTAAGGCTTGTTCTTGTTATTCTATCTCCCTGTTGTTACTTGTTCATTGTTATATAGTAAGGGGGAGTATTAATGCAAGAAGGGTGATGCCGTGCCCTATGTGAGTGTTAATGCACGAAGGGTGATGCCACACCATATTATGAGTGTTAATCCATGAAGGGTGATGTCGTGTCATGTTATGAGAATTAATGCACGAAGGATGATGTTGTGCCGCATCCATTGATTTATACTGAAAGTGAGAGTAAAAGCACGAAGGGTGATGCCGTGCAACATCATTATTTCATTGTGAGATTGAGAGTAAAAGCACGAAGGGTGATGCCGTGCAATTTTCTTCATTGTGCTTAATTGTTTTAACTGGGTAAAGGCATATTGACTGATCTGGTTATCATTTCCGCTGTATTTTCTCGTATTTTGTATCCCCTTTAGCATGTCCCCATCCTAATAGTACATGTTTAGCTTTTATTTGTTGTTATCTTGTACGTATACTGTTATCTGCACAGGTTTATTACGTGGGTGTCTTGTCATAGCCTCGTCACTACTTCGTTGAGAATAGGTTGGACACTTACGGAGTACATGGGTCGGTTGTACTCATACTACACTCTGCACTTTTTGTGCAGACTTTGGTACCGGCCCTAGCTGTTCGTGAGGTGTAGCAGCTTGGATTCGCTCATTGGAGACTCGAGGTAGATCTGCTGACGTCCGCAAACCTTGAAGTCCCCTCATATTTTCCCTATTTTACTGTTTGTTTTCGTTCAGAACATTTGTATTTATTTTAGACCCTGTTTGTAGAAATTCTAGAAGCTCGTGAGTTGTGACTCTAGATCCGGATTGTAGTAGATATTATGGGCATTTATGTTATCCTGCACTTAGTTTTATTTCTTTTCAGCATCAAGCACCCAAGATATGTAGCTTTTGCCCAATATATCTGGGCTACAAATTCAAGTTTAGAAAGATCTGACATTATTTAGAAAAAGAAAGTTCGTACCTTTGATACTTTCAAAGTATTTGCTCGAGATGGCAGAATCTCGTGCTGATAACGTGTTATAAAATAAAGACTGTAAAGTAAATTAACCAACGACAAGTATAGAGAGAAACTGATATATTATTCAACTTCAAACTGATGTACATAATGAACTGAAATCTCCTCTATTTATAAAAGAAAGGAAGTTGATGTGTAAGTTGTTGCGTAAGCTGCTACTGCAAGCTGCTGTGTAAGCTCCTACTGCAAGCTGTTGTGTACGTTTCTTGTATGTGGTTATCGTACCAGCTATAGATAATCTTAAGTAATATTTATCTATAACAGAGTACCGAAATGATAAGCTTTTTAAGAAAGCATATTTTCTATAGAGTACTAAATTGATCTAACAAATTTAGGTGGAGTCAATATGGATAAGCCTCTTGAGAAACCATATTTACAACGGAGTTATCTGTGGGTCCCATCCTTTACCTTATGGGAAAAACTTTTATACATTGAAATTTTCTAGAGCACCTTTTGTACGATCATTTAAGGAAAAATCTTCTGTAAATCAGAACGGGTAGGGTTTTCCTCCTGTCTCTGCTATCGATCTCGATTCCCGCCGACTTTCGTTTGAGATGTGTGATGAAACGGCAAGCTTAGGCAGCTGTACTCTGCCGGGAGATGCAATGGTGGAAATCCTGTTGCGGCTTCCCGTCAAGTCATTGCTGCGATTTCGAGCGGTTTCCAAATCATGGTATGGTTTCCTAAATAGCCCTGATTTTATTCAAATGCATCTCCGTCACAGTCAACAACCCCTCCATGAAAAGCTCCTCAGAGTGAGCAATCGTGGTCCTAGAGACACCCCTACTATTTCCTTCTTCTCCGTTGATCCTACTGTTACTGTTAATGCTGATGATATTGACGACGGAGTTGATGGGTATAAAAATAATAATGATCTGTATTCGTCTTCTGTTGTTGATTTGCCGTTTCCGTCTAGTCCAGATGATGAGGTTCGGATTGTGGGTTCTTGCAATGGCTTGTTGTGTGTTCATTTCAATAGGACTTCCAACATTATCTTGTGGAACCCTGCTACCAGAAAGTATAGATTCCTTGGACCCCCCGATAATTCTGTATCCTTTTATTGCGATCCTTTCTTCCCTTATATAATGCTTGGTTTTGTCCCCGAGATTAACGATTATAAGGTTGTCAAGGTTCCATCATCCAGTAGAAAACACGTTGATGCTAAGGTTTGGGTTTACACCCTGAGTTCGGATTCTTGGGAAGAGATGGGAGCTGTTTATCTGCTGCCCAAGGGTGGGTCTGCAGTTAATCTTAACGGGTGCTTGTATTGGATGTCATATAATTGTGATAATGGACGGGATATTGTTACTTCGTTTGATTTGTATAAACAAGTCTTTGGACAAATTATGGTCCCCAATTCAGATTCTATTACTGACTTCACTATCAAGAAGCTTGTGGTACTAAAGGGTTGTCTTTCTATGATAATCTATTCTGAGAATGGTTTAATTGTTGACCATTACGAGGTATGGATGATGAATGAACAACAAGGTGTATCTTGGACTAAGAGAGTTGATTTTTCACCTTTCTCTAAGCTAGCACGACCTGTTGGATCATGGAGGGACAGCGAAATTGTTTTTGGCTACCCAAATGGGTTGTCACATGAACTGTTATCATACAATCCTTTTACTAAAAGAGCTCAGAGCTTTCAAAGGAGAAGTTCAGTGGGTGGGTTTAAAGTCATAAATTATGTCGAAAGCCTAGAATCTGTGGAGGGTAGTTAAGTGGACTCTAGAGATTTGAAGTCTGATATTGCAGGTGTTGTTGCAGTTTCTTTCTTTATGCTAATCATATTTTGAGCTTTTTAGTTTCAACTCTCCCTATTACATGATATATTTCAATATTGTGTTTATGTTTACTCTACCATCTTTTTATTGCAGTTTCATTTGGCATGGTATAAAGTAATGATTAATTACCCTTGCTTATCTAGCAGCTCACCATAAGTTTTAGCATGCTTGACACCTTTAGATGTTGGTTTGGTCAAGGGATGTCCATTGAAGCTTTTTCTCAAAGGTGACACTTATAAAGGTAGATACTGGGTGAATTGTTGGGTGAATTGTGAAACTGGAGAATGTAGAGTTTAACTAAATCCCGGATAAACACAAAAAATTTAGAAGCTCTAGTGGATCAGTAAACAGAACAATTTTTAAGTCTCTTAATGTTTCCTACATATAATTTTAACACTATTTCCTTAGTATTTTTCACATTGTTTCCTGTGGTTTGACTTTCCGACTATGTCGCGCACTCTTCATTTTAGGCGGCACACCCGTGTTGGCAAAACACTAGTACAGGTAAGGATGTAAGGATGTGGGATTTGTACAGGGTATGGTCAATCGAGATTGGCTACTTTGACCACAATCCATCGAGAAATTTGAGAAAAAACTGAATTTTGATTTCTCGAGATAAAAGCTAGTACAGATTTGAAGCCATGGGAAATGGCATACCTTCAATATTCTACTGCTGCGAGGTAGCAAATTCTACTCTTGTCTCCTTTTCAACTTCTCCGCTTGAATATATTTTTATATATCTATTTTTAGAATTTTGAATTATTTTTCGCCGAAATCCCGGCACCTGTATCTGTACCTGGATCCCTTATTCCCGAATCTTATAATTTAGATTATAAAGGATCCGAACTCTGGATCTGCACCTGGATCAGATACCCGCACCCGAGTCCGAGCAACATAGCTTTCCGAAAGCAAATTAGCCATCTCCATAGCAAGATTTGACATAGAAGGGAGAACTCATAGAACGCCATATGGACAGATAGTTCATAGAATGAGAGTAAGAGGGATGATAATTTTGAGTATAATTCGTCTTGTATTTCTTAAAAAAGCTACAATATTGTGTATGTACAATATGACAACAACAACAACAATAACAACCCAGTGTAATCCCACAAGTGGGGCATGTACAATATGAGGTAAACTATATTTTTTTAGCAGGAGAGAATATTTAAGAGAAAGCTTCTTGATCTAATCATGCACCTAAATGTCCCTCCCAGTCTATTTTTGAAGCTGTCAAGTTGAGCCTCAAAAGCTTCCAGCCTTGTTTATGTTTGTGCTTTCTTCTTGGCCTTCACTTGCTATTTTTCTTTTAGACACCAATCTTGAAACCAATCACCCTTTAGATGGCTTGGGCTTCAAAAGTGGCAAACACAAGAACTGCAAAAGCATTTGAAAAATTAAACTGCACACTGCATTGGCTTCCATTATGGCTCTGATCCCGGCTATGGTGTCCTGATTTTCATCCAGAACAACTGATATTACAATTTCCTGATTCTTTTACTTCAGAGCAGAGACTAATGTTTTGACATGCTTCTTCATCTTCTTGCTGAAAGAAGTGAATCTGCAATGCCGGATTCTGTACTCAAATCTCCTTTTCTCATTCTGAGAAAGGATTGTAGATCTCTTATGTTTACTTTACACTGGGAGACAAGTTCCTTTGTGGTGCCACAAACATCTAGTAGCCTCACTGACTTGTCCAGTAAATCTTCGACCAATTTCTCATGTTTAAAGTGAGAGAGAGCTTGAAAGGTTAGAGGCAAGTTGAGATCATCTATGTGCTTGTATAATTCCTCCAAACCAAGTAGGCTATTGCAAATTGTCTCAGCAGTTGGTGCAACTGCTGTTTCCAATGTTTTGAGCTTGTTGAGCTCCTCTTCCACTCTTAGAGTGTGCTTGAATGTGAACTTGATGACGAACTGATTGAACGAATGTGATTATTAGTTTTTGAAGCATCCACGGTGATTGTTCTTTTCCTTTCTTGAGAGAAAAACTCAGAATTGGTGATGAACAATATGCCCCAAGAAAGGCCACTATATAACTAAGTAGGAATAGGACAGAATATGAGCATGTGGTTGTAAACTGGTAATGTATGCATGTGAGTATCCCTTTGAATTTGGTAACTACAATCTTCTAACTAATATTTAAATTTATTTATTATAATATTCAGTATTATTTATTTATTATCTTTATTTGATTTATTAATTTATGTCAAATTATATTCTCTCACACTATCTCTACCTCTGTCTTTTAATATTAATTTTCTTACTACATATTTTATTTAGTGTTTAATCCAATAATAGACCAATAAAAAGAGCATCCGCTCATATTTTCTTGTACTTCACCAAAATCTCAAGGTATTGTTTTCATCCTTGGAGTTTTTCTTTCCTATTCAAAAGCTTGGATAAGATTTGATTTGTTTGTTTTTCAATTCAAAAGCTTGGAAAAGAATTGAGTTGATTCGGTTTAAGAAAATAATAGAATCTATATAGATTATTATTATTATTATTATTATTATTATTATTATTATTATTATTTATTATTATTACTATTGTTGTTGTTATTATTGTTATTATTATTATTAATAATAATAATTGTTATTGTTGTTCTTATTAGGAGAAACAGTAATATGTGCAGATAATACTTGCACTTTTATCTTTAAAATTAATTAAATAGGGGTATTATGTTTATTTTTAAACTCATATCTTTTAATTAAAAAAGCTTATTAGTTAACAGGACAGAATAGGAGCATGTTGTTGTAAACTGGTAATGTATGCATGTATCCCTTCGAATTTGGTAACTACGATCTTCTAACTAATAAATAGTATGGTGGAAAGAAATAGATGAATTTTTATTTTTATTATACTATCTATCTATTAGAGTAATGTCGATTCTAGTCCACTCATTTCATTTAATACATGAAATTGTAATCTTTTAAATACTATGCATATGGGGAACAAAGGCTCTAATCATTTAGAATTATTTTAATCCAGAGTCATAGAAGTACAAGTCAGTTTTTTCCTTCGTATCAAACATTATGTGATTGTGTTGTTACTACAATATCAATTAAGATGCTAACACCGTGGATCCATTAATGCTGTCTCATTTTGAGAGCCAATATTTCACACTGATACTAAGAAAAATTGAGTGTAAACAAATAAAAGAAGATGATTTCATAAAAGATGGAAAAAGGAGAATTTGTGGATATTAAATTTGTACACCCATTGCTTCCTGGCCATATTTGTTGACACATTATTATTCGTGTCCGCCAAGCTTTTGGTCATTACAACTAGATTGTCTCCATCGATGCTGTCTCTTTTTGACTAATAACTACTAGCAGAAATAAGCATATATAAAAAATAAAAACAAAAACAGAAGATTTTGAGAGATACGGCCAAATTTGATATTAAATTTGATACGTATATGGCTTGTCGAATAGAGCATGCAGGCATCATATATAAGATTTTCTTTCTTATCACACCTCCAAGATGATGCTGAGGGGAGATTTACGTACATGTGCAGGTGGTGAATACAAAATTCATGCACGTATGGCTTCTCGCTGTTTGTGATTAATTACTGCAGAATTTAGTCCAGAACAGCCATTTAATTTATTCTTCACCAATATTGTGATCTGTTACTACTACATAAATTAGCCCACAATTGCAACTCATTATTTGACCAATTTGATGATCTTTACTATATAATAACTCTGACACGTGCGGTGATGGATCCAAGATCTAGACATTAATTGTACAATCTGAGTTGAGAGAGTGAATTTAAAATGTATATCTAATTAATTCTATATACTTGTTTTTCACACACATACGCCACTAGTCACTTGCACAATGCAGTGACTTCATCAGCTTGGACACAGGTCTATGTGAACCATTTTAGTGTATCTATGCTTTTTTGCATAGCAGTCTCTGCCTCTGATTCTTAGGACTAGTTATATACTTTTCTTGATTCTGAGTACGTTAAAAGGGTATTATTTCCTTCTAACTCGATAATACACAATCCAGTCAAGACCAAAAAAAAAAAAAAAAAAAAAAAAAAAACTAACAAGCATCGTGAAAATGTGAACGTGTGCCTTTTTGTTTTCCCCGGAATGGATAATAAGATAAGAAATTACTTAAGAATCATTTTGAATGGAGGCAGGTTTAAGAATCCAGCCTACAACGTGAAATTAATGTGACATTCTTTATTTCCAAAATCATACTACAGTATTGAGTTTCATAAGCACAATAGCTTGAATTATCTCCACTTTTCGCTTTTACCATACTACTTAAATATGAGTTGCCTTCAATATAATTGCGTAGTAAATTAAAAAATTCAAATCACTGCGACGTGTCGTTTGTCAATTGAGGTATCGTTTTTAATTTGTTTATCCATATATTGCATATTGCTGATTTAACTTTTTTAAACCTTTTGTTCAAAATAGCTTATATCCCAAAATCTCTTCAAACTTAACCCAGGCTTTTGTTTTGATCTGTTAAGGACATTAGAAGAGTGTATTAAGGCCAAGGTTAGATTGACAAGACACAGGTTGCGGAGTCCTGAGGTTGCGTAGATAAAAAGGAAGCTAATGGGCATAAGAAGTAATCACATCAACTCAAAAATATTTTGATATGTATGATTTGATTCTTAAATTATGCTTCTGATTGAACTATAACGATCCAAGTAGAAACGATAGATAGAATGGAATAGAAGTAATGGAATGTCACAATCCAAAATCTCATCAAAGATCGTAGTGGCGCCTAACTTGTTTGCTGGGCAAGCCAACACACAATAATAATAACATACGCCGATTTATTAAGTTAATAATAGAGTGGTGATAAAGCATAAAAGCGAAAACAGTCTCAAAATCGATATAAAGATACAATATCCGAGACAAGATCTAAACACAACTGTCTAGCAATGCCCAATACCTAGTATCACAATATCGAGCATCTAAAAGTGTGAATTGTGTCTATCAATATAACAATATCTGTTTGGAAGAAATAAAATGACAGAAATAGATAATCAAGGGACGGGGACTCCATGTGCTGCGAATCGAACAAGAAGGCAACTCACCACGGAGTCTCCGATGTAAATCTCTATGTTTCTGGACGGGTATGGCTGGTACCGGTCTCAGAATATGCAGAAAATATGCAGAAGTGTAGTATGAGTACAAAACTACGGTACTCAGTAAGTATCAAGTCTGGCCTCGAAGAAGTAATAGCGAGGGGTCGACAGTGACATTAACTAGCAGTTTGATAAGCAAGAACTAAAAGCATAAAATAAAGCAGTAGATAAGGCATTGTATCATCAAATAGATACAAAGGGATGGACACAATAATATTTACTATTTATACATGTTTTTCAGGTAAAGGAAGCTGATAATAGGCTAGAATTATGTAATTTGGCGATTGTTTATGTCCCAGCTTGATTATGTTTCAATGTGATAATATAGTTAAATGATGAAAAATGGGCTCTAATTGTGAATTTCACACGTTGCAGGAGTGAGGAGCTTGTATGAGGCCTTAAAGCTATGATTGGAGCTACATTGAAGCAAGAAAACCCCCTAGGAGCTGAGTACGCGAGAAGACGAGAAAAAGAATAGATGAAATGAAGGCCTGGACTAGCACGGCCACTAGCGCGACCGCGCTAGCCCAGATGGTCAAGGCAGAATGATAGGGCATATGCGCGGTCATTAGCGCGCCCACTAGCGCGACCGCGCTATCCAAGTTCCGGAATAGTAATTTTCAGGGTAAACTTGGAAGTCCGGGGGTAAATTCACTTAACCTATAGAAGGTCAAGCTCGCCCAAGGATTGATTATCAAGGTTTTCATAACTTAGTTGAAGGCAAGGAGAGGCAAGAGGCAAGGAGGATAATTCAACATCGAGTTCTTCCTTTCTTCGTTTTGTTTTTACGATTTGTGATGACTTTGAATATTGTTGTGATGAACACTAGTATGAGTAGCTAAATATTTAGTCTAAGGTTTTGATGGAACCTATTGAAGGATGAACTTCTTGTTATGTTAATATAGTTTGCCCGATTTAATCTCTATTTGTTTAACTATGTTCTTATTGTAGTTAATTGACAGGATCCTCAATTAGCTGTGCCTATTTAGTGTGCATAACTCGGGAGAGAGTGCATATTTAGGTCAATTATTGAACAACACCACTCCCAAAGTATATGAGGGATCAATAACGAGGGTTTAAAGGTGGGATTAGGGATAACGAAGCCTTGGGTGCGATCTAAAGTGAGCTGTAATAAACAAAGACAGCTAGCGTATCTCGTGAGAGTGCGTCTAGTAAATTATTGTGATTACTCGGGAGAGATTTACAGTAATAATAGTGCTCATGATTAATAGAGATGATTAGGCAAATCTATGTGAAGCATAACCGGAAGCGATTCCATCAATAGGGGAAATCATAACCTTAGAACCTTCTCTTAATTGTTTACAACTTAATCATAGTTAGTTTTCAGCTCTTATTTACTTTCATTCGTAGTTAGTAGAAATACCATCAATTGTTATTTAAAACGTTTGGGAAGTTGATTCCGTGGAATTTAGTAAGTCTAACGAGAGTAATTGATAGGTTAATTCCTTGTGGGTTCGACTCTGGGCTAAATACTCAGATTATATTTGCAACGTTCGCGTGTCCTTTTTATAAGGCATAGTTGGGCGTGATCAGAAGCACAATACAAGTTAATATCTCAACTACTTCTAAAATCACGAAATAAACTGATCAAAATGTATATATTAGAGCAACTGCATGAATCTAGAATGCATATCCGTATTCATGTTCAAATCTTAACACCTCACAGTACCAATCCACATGTCTGACACTAGCCAAGTGTCCAAACTAATATCAATCTGAGTACATGCCCTCACAAGGCCCGAAGTA